TCAGAGCACAATGACACTCACCTCAGTAGTGTTTTAATACTAAGGGTATTTTTTAATGAAAACTAAATCTCTGAAATTTTGACAGAGATGTAATATCTCAATAGCAACACTTAAACAATCAAAACATTGAAATAGTGATGTCAGATATGGAGGAAAAAACTATAATTTAAAAAAAAGTACTGTACTCCTATGTCTTCAGTAAGTTGGCAAAGTGAAGTGAACTTCAAAATAAATTTATAAGTGTTACTTTAGGATAGTATGCTGGGCCTCAAAAAATGGTACAAAGAAAAAGTTGATTTAAATAATTCCAAAATAGAGTGAAGCCTACTTCTCATTCTATTTTGGAGTTATTTAATATTTTAAAATACAGTATGTAACCAGTTCTATATTCTTAAACACACACACACACACACACTTGAGCCCTATCACTTGATATCTACCATGTAGATGAGATCCTTGTGGGTTCTGCAGTTCTGTTAAGTAGCCAACGAGCTCTCAGAAAGAGATTTAGAATTCCCAACATCTATCTAATTAAGAGCCCGTTTTCTTTTTTCCATGAAAAGAAAATATTCTGGCTTGAGGGAGACTTTTTGAAACTCTTTATTTCACATTTTAACTTATTTAAAAAACTCCATTTTAGTATTAGGCAACTAGAAAATTGTTACCCACCCTATCTTACATCACAATAATTTCAGAAAAAGGACTTTTGTGGCTATAGCCTCACAATCAAATTCCACTTTCTTATTCCTTTCTTTAGGACTATACAACATGTTTCTAAAGTTAAATTTAAATCTGTTGACATTTAGGGTTCCCTACTGGGTGGTATGACATAGGATGCTTTAGAGAGTTACATTCTCATTTAGAGTAAAAATCTCATTTCCATACTGTGAGAACCCAGAAAACATTTCTAAACTGATGTTTCCAGGGAAGGAGAGAAAAACTTGAGTGGCAAAACTAAGTGATATTTTAAATTATGATCCATAAGATACACTGTGGCATTCAACTAGTTCAGGTAAGACTACTATTAATTGCTAGTAACCTCTGGTCACAAGCCTTTTCTAGGCTAGAAAGGAAGGCAAGGAAACTACTCCCCATTTCTCTGACAGCAAGTATTTTACTTTTTGAAGTGTGAATTCTAGGCATTTAAACATTATATATAAAGAATCATTTAAAATGTAATTCTTCCTTTCTGCTTAAACTTTTAGTTAAAGTAAAAGGTAGCAGGTTGTAACACATTTTAACAATGCACACAAAGAAATCCAAGGGCAAAATTAAACATAAAAGATGTATTGTCCTTTTTGGTTCTTAACACATTTGGCCCCAAAGTAGCAAACTCCTAGCTACTTTTTTTAAGTAGATTAAAATCAAGATGAACAAAATGTCCAAAGTATGTCAAATTACAGCCTCTACTAGTTAAAAATTCTGTTGGTTGTAAAACTCTGTTGGTGGCCATTTTGGCCTAGGAGTTTTAATATAAATGAGCCTAGGAATGACAGGGGGTAGGGAAAGGGACTTTCCTTCTGGAATAGTTGAAGGGGGTGGGGGTGGAGATTTTATCTAGAATAAAAAATGAAAAAGAATATTCAAAGTCAGGCATTACCAAAATTTGAAAATATAACAAATTAAAATACAAGAACAGTGCTATATTATTGAAGATTTTTAAATTCTTCTAAACATTCTGAAAAAGGTAAATACATAAACTACTTGGGAAATAAAAATCATATTTTTCTTTTTCCCATGCAGGTCTCCAAAGTGACAATCTAAAAGTCCTTAAATTATATGGCAATTTTATAGCTATTTAAATATATAATAGATATATATAGGCAGTGTTTTAGAGTTTTATTAGCATGTGCCCTTTAGAATGATGGTCTTAGTTTTTATTAATCTAGTGAAGTCTAGTCAAGTTGGTTAAAAAGCTATTCTATTCACATACAAGTTGTTAGGGATGCTTTATTTGATCTCTCATGAAATTGCTGAGAGTAGTGAATATGTTTCCTTTTTAATATTCATCTTTTAGAATGTGTTCAAAGAAATTTTTGACTTGGAACATTTCACAAGCCTACTTATATCAATCAATTTCACTACCTTCTTATGTGTTTGAAAATTAATACTCTGTATTATTAGGCTTAAAAAAAAAATATATATATATATATTCCCTTTTTGCAGAAGTATTTTTTTTATTGATTTCAGAGAGGAAGGGAAAGGGAGAGAGAGGGAGAAACATCAATGATGAGAGAGAATCAGTGATTGGCTGCCTCTTGTATGCCTCCCACTGGGGATCAAGCCAGCAGCCCTGGCATGTGCTTTGACCGGGTCTTGGACTGTGACTTCCTGGTTAGGTCCTTGCTTAACCACTGAGCCACACCGACTGGGCTCAAAAAATACTTTTAAGGAAAGTGATTCCTGGATCGATCTTAAATTGTATTTGCTAAACTTTAAGTGTAAATGACTTTCTAGTCTTCCTGATTGGAGGGCAGATAAAAGCAACTGAAACGTTCTCAAATGCAAATAAACATTTCCAAACTGAATATACTAATCAATTTCTCCTCCCCCAAAAAGCACAGTTCATTTTGGGTGAGAAATGTATACTTTGGTTAGAAAAAAAAATTAACCAGTGATTAAGTGTAGAAATTTCCAGAGTTTTAAGAAGACTGGTTTAAATCAATATACAGTAGCAATTCTAACCTAGGTTTCATTACTTGGTCATTGCTCTGACTGATGCCACATTCGAGTGTGAGGGCTACTATGAGTCAATAGATGGCAGTCCATCGCCTAGTAAAAGAACTGAAGATGACTAAACTCACCATGCATTCTGCTTTTATTCAAGATTAAATATTGCCTAATTGTACATATTTGGATATTGCCTATATACATAATCATTTAACTATTTTATTTTAGATGGATTGATATAGATGGATTGATATATATATATATATATATATATATATATATATATATTTCTGAATATACAAATTCTGCATTTATACTTGCATAGTAAACTATTCCTAATTTTAGTTTAGACTTGATAATTATGAATTGGAATAGCTGCTTCAATATTATTTTGAAAATTAATCAATAGTCTAGGTTGAGACAAACAGACCTTTCAAAATGATTTTGTTATACCTATAGATAGAATATATTGTTATTCTCTTCAAGATAACTCATTTTGTTTCACTAATTTTTTCCTAACTACTCTTTTTATAATTTGTTTTTTAAAAGCTACAATATTAAACAAATATTCAAATATTTATGTTATACTAAACACCAATTTCTTTTTTTTTTTAAAATATATTTTATTGATTTTTTACAGAGAGGAAGGGAGAGAGATAGAGAGTCAGAAACATCGATGAGAGAGAAACATTGATCAGCTGCCTCCTGCACATCTCCTACTGGGGATGTGCCCGCAACCCAGGTACATGCCCTTGACCGGAATCGAACCTGGGACCTTTCAGTCCGCAGGCCGACGCTCTATCCACTGAGCCAAACCGGTTTCGGCATAAACACCAATTTCTAATCTTCTATGAGAGTTATATAAAAGAATATAGGTGCAAATAATGAAAAGAGTGGCTTTAAAATAGTGCTACCATCACTTCAAGTTTTCAAGAATGGAATTCTCTAAGTTAGGGGAAAAGAAATGCAATATCAAATCCATTAGGCTATTACTTAATTAAAATACTGATAAAAATGCTATACAAAGAGTGACCGTGATCTTGAAAGTATAATATGGTTGAATTCCAATCAAGTTTAGACTATAAGGATTTCACCACAGTATGTTAAGATTAAAAAATGATACATAAGCACAGATATAATGTATCTATATAAGTTACATCTGTAAAAATATATGTGTACATATATGGGTATGTGTGTGTGTATATATATTTTAGTTTTATAGTGAAGACTTTAAGAAAACCCAATTTGGGATTGAGGGATAGCTGAGTAATTACAGCTTTCTACTAAGAATCTTTAAATAAATTAAACAGTGATAACAGAATGTAGGAACAAACTACCTGATATTATTCCTTTTTTCTTGGGCCTGTGGTAAGACATATTGGTAGTATAAGTCTACTTATTAGTTTACCTTTTATTTCATAAAGAGGAGAGCAGTAAAAAGACATGTTTTGTAAAAACTTTGCCTTTTCTATTTTTACTACCTGTCTTCCATAAAGAAAACTTTTAAATATGTTAATCTTTAAGAAAATAGCTTTTAATTACATTGTATAACTTTAAAATTAAAAGTAATTTTTATTATTGTCTCTTGCTCAGTACAACATACTTAATACATTATAAGAAATGACTAGCAGGGCTTTGGTGAACTCTCAAAATTATTTAAGCTGACTATTAGAAATAAACTGATTTCATAATATTGAGCATTAGTAAGATGATTCCATAACAATGTTTTTTGCTTCTACTTAGCCTAAAATCACAATAAAAAGGAAAGCAGAGAACTGAATAACTTGAATAGTATTAAGCAGATATTTATACACGTTGAATAAGTCAAGAGGGGCTTAAGCATATGACAGTTGAATTGTTCTATATGAAAGATACACTAAGCTTTGTCTAGCTTTATTAAAAATATATGTAAATATTTCAGTAAAGCCAGAGAATTGATAATGGAAGATATTGTGGACTGCATGCTTGTAGACTGTAGATGATACAATTTATTAGACACTAGATTACTATTATTTTTTTTATGGCTCCTAGCATACTTTTCCCTCTTTAATTTGAATTTAACCCAGGAAGACTGAGAGATACCATGATGTAATCATTAAATGATGTGAGCAATAAAACACAATCAAAATCTTTTAAGAACAGGAAGATAAAGGATAGAGTAGTGGGCAGGGGAGAAGAGAAAAAGTATATTATTGCTCTCTCAGTGCAAAAACTCTTCAGTGTTTATTATCTTCCAGCAGAAGATGCTTGTCTATATTTTATGGTCAGCAGTTCAGAGAAGGGTAAATAGGCTAGGTCTTGGGGAAAATAAAAAAGGTGTTTCTACTCAC